TTGACATGTAGGCTAACCAATAAGTTGTTGTGTTTTCATTCATTCATTCACATGGCCTATTTACGAGTTAGTCAAAGCGTGTATTTTGGCGCCAAACAAAAGCTAGTGCTGAGGAGGTAACCATAGCAACAGTGAGCTAACAGGAACGGTTTCCCTTAGTTTCCCAGACGCTACAAAACATTGACAAAATATTAAAATAAGCTTAAAAGGATAGTTCACCCAAAAATGAAAATTACCCCATGATTTACTCACCCTCAACCATAGGTGTATATAACTTTCTTCTTTCAGATAAATACAATCGGAGTTATATTAAAAAATGTCCTGGCTCTTCCAAGCTTTATAATGGCAGTGAATGGGTGTTATTTTTCAATAGTCCAAAAGAAGTCCAATATAGCGCATCCATCCATCATAAAAAGTGCTCCACACGGCTCCAGGGGGTTAATAAAGGCCTCCTGAAGCGAATCGATGCGTTTTTGTAAGAAAAATATCAATATTTAAAACTTTATAAACTGTAATCTCTAGTTTCTGCTAACTGTCGTATGTGCGTACATGAGAGAGTGGCGTTCCAGCGGATGATGTAAGTGTAGCGTAAGGTCCGGCGAGAATATGCTTGTCTCGCGAGAACCAAATTCTGTTTACAGGAGCAAAGGAATCAAAGCTTCCTTTGATTAGCAAAGGAAAACCAGTCTGTCTCCTCTTGGCATGTTACAGTCCTCTGACATTTTCCTTTACAAATCCTCGTTTTGACCGGTGTTTTGTTTTGCTCTCTCCGCTTCTCTTCCGCATTCGTCACTTCTCACGGAGCTTACGCTACGCCTACGTCATCCGCTGGAACGCCACTCTCTCGTGAACCTGCATATGACAGTTAGTAGAAGCTAGAGATTACTGATTACAAGTTTTAAATATGGGTATTTTTCTTACATAAATGCATCGATTCGCTTCAGGAGGCCTTTACACGGAGCCCTGTGGAGCACTTTTTATGATGGATGGATGCACTTTATTGGACTTCTATTGGACTATTGAATCTCAACACCCATTCACTGCCATTATAAAGCTTGGAAG